CCTTTCACATATTACAAACACACTCACACTCTCTCAGGCTCACACACACTGATGTTCACACACACTCGGGCTCACACATACTCATTCTCATACACACTCATGTTCACTCTCATGCTCACACGCTCTTGCTCACGCACACTCTCATGCACACACAACCTCTAACATTTATACACATTCTCACATATATATTCTCACTTACATCCTTACTATTTCCTTTCACTACCTTTTAAAACATTTTTTAAATAAAAATGTAAAAAATCCAGTGGCTCAGAATAAAAAGCCAAGTCTTTCTACGACAAGTAAACAATATGCATATTAATGCAGGGAAGAGCTGTCAGACAGACAAAAGGAGCTGTGAGCTGGGGCCCCATCCCTCCACTCGCACCAAAGCAGCACTGTGGCATCAGGATGGTCCTTCTTGGCTTGTCCTGTCATCCTAGGCAACCCGTCTTAGCCCAGACCCTCCTGCCCACCCTAACTGACTCTCCTGGGTCCCTTAACTGAGTCCCCAACAAGTCTAGTTCCCACCATTGGTCTCCTGGTCCAATGAGGGATAATGGTGCCAGCAACATTTTCCGCACACATGCAAATCATGGATGGAGCCTCTACAAATCTTATTTCCTAAAACAAGCCTGGAAGCAGGAGCGGCATCCACTTCCACAATGGCTTGCCTCCGGAAACTCTATGTATGAACAGTGCTCAGGCCGTTCGTTCATAGTGCCGCTATGAGTCGTCTACGACCCGACGGCACCAAACAACAAGTCCATCTACTTCCTCCTGTACGTGGTTCTTCAGAATTCTGTCTGTGTACACACTATGAAAAAGTTTTGGTAGTACTATCTTCAGTTAAAGGAGATTACATGGGCTCCCTCTACAGATAAGCACAAATAGGGGAGCACATTATTACTAGATGCATTTAAAACTGAAACTGTTTCAAAAGAAGTTATCCACAAATTAAAAACAGTAACTATCACCTTTTTAAAAGGTATTCACCATCTATCTATCAGTGGGGCTTGCATCTTGCTTTAATGGTGAGCAGGTATCAGTAGCACTTTCAGGTTAAAACAAACAAGGAAGAAAGGGCTGGCAATCCATTTCCACAAATCAGCCAGTGAACTCCCTATCCATCACAATGGTCTCATCTGCAGCTGACCAGGGAGATAGCACAGGACCAAGCAGCATTTTGTTCTGCTCTGCACGACAATACCCTGAGTCAGGGGCTGATCAATAACAGCTAATAACAACAGTGTGCAAGAAAAGTCTGAGTTTCTGGGTAAATTAATCTTCTGGAAAAGTCCTGGCCATTAAGAAAAAAACAACTGGCGCCACCAATTCAATTTCAACACATGGCGACTCGTGTGTCTGGGGGAGCTGCACTCCACAGAGTTTCAATGGTAGGTTTTTTAGGAGATCACCAAGCCTTTCTTCCAGGTACCTCTCAGTAGATTTCAGCTGCCTTTCAGTTAACAGCTGAGAGAGACAGAGCCATTTTCTTTCCACCCAGACCCCACCAATTTATACAAAAACTCTATCTTCAAGACAATAGAGCTTAAAGGCACAGCTTCCCTCCAGACCATGGAGAGAGGGATATGCAACAAAGCCAAATCCTTCTGGATTATGAACAGCCAAGAGTTTGCAACATGTCAAAGGATATTCAAACTCAAGCTCATTGCTATCAATCTGGCACTGATATATATAGCTGACCTACCAGCAGGCTTTTTTTCAAAAGATGTTAGTCACCCACACACTGATATAACAAACAAGCCATCCATTCTTAAGTGTGTTGTGATGAGTCAGGTTTGTGTGACATTTCTAGCCATGGACCTATAAGTTCCACCAGATGACTGCCTGAGACTATATGAGCAGGATGCATAGAGGCTTAGGGGACTGGAGAGTCTGCTCATGCAAATGAGGTGCAGAGAACTTTTAAAGGAAACTGGCTAACTTGTGGGTTTGCTGTGTGTGGAGAGAGTACACCTTAAATGTTGCTATGCAACATTAACCTTCTTCCCTGAGAAAAGTTTTAAAGAGTTACAACACTGAAGACAAAGTCTGTAGCTAGATCACTCCCTAAATGTAGTTGCCAAGAAACTAAATGCAGTTGTAGAAACAAGAATATTTCTAGTACATTACTTAAATTTAGGTTCTTCCTCCTGTCTAACAAGAATAGCAAAACAGGAGTCCATGCTTTCTACACAAGCAAAAGAAGAAATGTATTAGGAAAAACACTTTACAAGTGACAAAGAACTGCTAGCCCATCACACCTTGAATAAAAGACAAGAAGGTCCTTTTCAAGAGTCTGGAGGTGGGAAAGGATGTCATGTTTATTCTTATTGTTATTGTTGTTATTGGGTGCCTTCATTTGACCATGACTCATAGCGACCCTCTAAACACCAGATCTGGACCTTGCCCTACCCTGCACCATCCTTACAAACTCTGATATGCTCCAGCCCACTGTTAAGACTCACAGTGTCAACTCCTCTTTTTGAGGGTACTACTCTCTTTCTCTGACCCTCCCTTTCCCAGCATGATGTCCTTTTCCAAGGACTGGCCCTTTCTAATAACATGCCCAAAGTACCTGACATGAAGTTTCACCACTTTTACCTTCAAGGAACACCCTGGTTGTACTTTCTCCAAGACAGATTTGTTCTTTTTCTAGTCCATGAGATATTTTTCAACACAACCCAAAGGTATTGGTCTTCTATTATCCTTATACATTGTCCAACTTTCAGATGTGTAACAAGTAACTGAAAAGACCATAGCTTGGATCAGGTGTACCTTGGTCTTTAAACTTGCATCATTTCTCTTAAGTATTTTGGAGAGGTCTGTAACAGCATTTTCCCAATGCAACACAATTTAAGAGTTAACCTATTAAAACAAAAAAACCTTCCTGTCTTGTTTATTCATGAAAGGAGGAGGTGATTATCTGAGATTGGCCATATGGAAGTGATCAGAGTAATTACATGCAATAGTTTTTCCAGGGTGGCTGCCATCAGAAGTTTGCCCCCCCACCCCTCGCCTTCAGAAGAGTTTATTTAAATAGTTTCAGTTGAGCCCCATTCTCCGAGGGGTATAATTATTGCCCTGGAGTGGGATTTTGAGTCAGGTCTTCATGGAATGTATAGAATGTAATCAGGTGTCTCGTTGGAAGCATGCAGATGGTCGTGACAGCTGTGTGTATGCCTGATTCCTGGGTGTGGCTTTAAAGTTGGCCATCTCCAACTGAAGCATTTGGTCATCACAAAACAAACAAGTCTTTTCAAGAAGGCTGCTCTCTAGAAGGTCATACAGGAGTCACTCACATGACACTTGAAATGTCTCATCAAAGTTAAAGATTCTTAGGAGGGAACACTTCACACTGGAGGCACTTAGTGTTCTTGGGTATTGTAATGTCTGCTTCAACTGAATGTTAGTGTTCCACATCTGAACTGTCTCAAGGAAATTAATTCAGCACATTATGCAGAAGGAAAGGAGACAAGAAAAGAAGAAATTATGAGATTCAGAGCAAGGCTAGCACTAACCCAGGTAAAGTTTAAAACAGAATTTTCCTTCTTATCACTTGAAAAGGTAGTCCTGGAAACAAGGTCAGAAGGTGCTATCAGTAATAGAAGGTAGTGACACTGAACTGTAGATTGCAGGGGGAGGGAGACTACAACAAAGGATCTCAACCTGACAAGGCAGCTTTCCTCAAAATGATCCCATAAGACAAAAATGAAACTTCTACTTTATAAACTACTTTTAATTGTTTTCTTGCCTGCAGCAAGACAGCAGTAGTAAGGGAAACAGCAGAAACCAGGAGGCAGGGAGAGGGCACTGAAACATTTTCTGAGCAGAGCCTACCAGCAGCTAAGAGAAAGCTACTGTTTTTCCAAGCTGGTCCCCATTCCAACTGGTAATCTTTTACTTTCCTGATAAACTCCATAATTATAAGCTTGGCTTATTGGTTCTGTTAAATATTATAGCAAATTACCAAATCCAAAGATGGAGGAAGAATATTGAGTCAGGGGACTAGATTCATCACAGAAGATGGAATGGTACAGCAGCTGGAAGAAATTATATGTATCAAACATTAGTCTCTGCCTCACAGGCACTAGCTTTGTATTGATTCTTATAAAAGAAATTATTTATGTACTGACAGAAGCAAAGAAAATTATATAAAGCTTATTGATAATGTTATTGTTAGATGCCATTGGGTCAAGTAAGAACAGATCTGAACCCTGTCCTATCCTGTGCTATCTTCATCATTTCTGAAACACTCAAGCCCATTGCTGCAGTAATTTTGTCAATCCACCTGGCTGAGAGTCTTCCTCTTTCACTATCCCTCTATATTTCCAAGCTGTCTTCTTTCCATCATTTCCTTCTCTAAAGAATAGCCTCTCCTAGCAATATGTTCAAAGTATGTAAGATAAAGCTTTATCATCTTTGCCTCCAAGGAGCACTGTGGATGCACCTTCTCCAAGACATATCTGTTTGGTTTTTTTGGCAGTCCACAAGATATTCAGTACTCTTCTCCAACACCCCTTTTTAACTTATACAAAATCTGCTTTTGCCTAGTAGTCTGGTGATTTTGGGGTGTTTGTTGGTTTGTTTTTTTTAAAAAAACCCAATGCCCTTGACCCCCTTCTTTCTTTGTTAGGGCTTCTGCACCCACACCCTTGAGAAATATCAGAGGACACAAGCAGTTTGCACAGACCTAATCTGAATACATATTTCGTGTATACCTGTAGAAAGTAACAGAGAAAGTAAAAAAGAGGAAGATTTTCGATGCCATTTCAGTTCTTTTGCATTTCTCCTACTCAGACCTTTGAGAAAGGTTTCCCAACAAGCCGACCAAAGGATTTCAGGTTAATGGGGGCAAGGGAGGGGGCTGTTGCAGACCAAGAGCCGGTGCCACAGAATTGCACAAGTATGCACAGCCATTTACCATCCCATCAAGAAGAACGCAACAGCTCACAAAGTACACCTGGGAACACAGGTATGAGGAGGGCAGGCAGCCTCACCTTTTCATCCTGATAGAACTTGTTGACACTCTCCAGCTGGAAGCTGTGGCTCAACTGGATCTTGTCAAGCTGCTCTTTTTGCTTCTCTAATTCTCCCTGAAACTCATTCTTTTTCAGCTCCACAGCGCCCCTCTCTGCAGCTGCCCTGCGGACCCTGCCTTCCAATTCCATGATGCGTGTCTGCAAAAAGAAAAAGTGTTAAATGCAAACGCCAGCCATTGCTGCAAACCAACCCACCAGAGTCGGCAGCAGACACTGAGGCCTACATCAGTGCCAGCCTCCCACCCCTGCAAAGGTTCCAAAGGCTCATGTGTTCAAAGGAACTGTGAGAGCTAGAACAGGAGTTTCTAGAGAAACAATGGCATAAATTAAGGTATTCACACCTCCAAGCTTCAGAACGCCACCCACCTTTATGCCCCAATGGGTTTCAATGAAGCAAGTACATAAAAGACCCTGGATATAACCTGGAACAATGGGTGCTGAGATATTTATTTCCTTTCCTCTGATACCACAGCACCTGACAACTCTATCAAATAGGACTTTTGAAGACTGGTTTTGTTTCTCCAGCTCACCCTCATCTGCCTGAGAACAGAGGTCTAGTAGAATCTGACACACAAGGTCGATAACCCAGGGAAACAAACTGAGTCTGGGACAGGACATGGGAAAGCTCAGGTGAAATGGAGCTTCATGGTTAAAGGTCCAAGCTCTGCCATCAGCAAGAGTTGTTTGGAACCCCAGCTCCAGTAGTACTGGCCTCTTTGTGCCTCGCTCTGCCCACCTGTGAAAGTGGGACACATAAGTCACAAGCTCTTAGGGTGTGACTTAGAGATAAAGAACATGGTGTCCACATAGTGTTCAGCACAGTGCATGAGCCCTGATGGTGAGCTTTAAGTGGGAAAGCTAATACTTTCATCATTGTTGAATGGTAATGCTGAAGACTGATACTGTAAAATATAAATTCCTTAGACTTATTATCCAAGACTGCTCTTTAATATGTAATGTGGACTACAGTTCATGGTCTACATATTTAAGCATATTATCTTTCCAAAACTAGCTCAAACATGTTGACTGAAACCTGTTAACTCACAGGAAGCAACAAGGAGGGTGTTCCAGCAGCAATCTCAAAAGTCGTAAGTGTTTGATAAAAAGGGTTCCCTCTCATCTAAGGGCAGAGATGAGGGACAGGGTGGCATTGAGGATATGGAAAGTCAGACCTAGAGCTAGAGTCGTAGCATGGGGGTTCGTGTGCTCATGTGATGTGCATGTGTGTGTATTGAAACTTTGGTGACTATAAGTAATAAACCACTTGACTCTCATTGTCTGGAAACCTTAAATGACATCTGGATAGATACAACAAAAAGGCAGAAATACTAAGGTACCCTGGACGGCATCTTGGAACATATGAACACAAGGTAAAACTAGTGAACACATCTATCTTGGAAGACGTACAGGCAGACTGGTCCTCAGAAACAAAGATGGAGAAATGACATCTCTCATATTTTGGGCACTACGTGTCACTGGAGGAGGGCATTGCATTTGGTGTGTTTGGTCAGTAGAGAACAGGAGGATCCTCAATCAGCAGGCTGACACAGCAGAAGGTGTGAGGATGGTGAGGGTAGTGTTTCCTTCTGGTGGACAAATGGTTTCCTTGAGTCAACTGACTCAATAGCACCTAATAGTAAGGTAAAAATTATGAAAAGCTGAAAAAATGAAGGGCTTTTATTAATAATGCATAATCACTGGTATATTTTGTGTGATAAATGCACCATACTAGTAAAGAATGTAAATAAAAGGGGGTTTGGGTGTGGAGTATACTGCAACTGTGCTATCTTTGAAATTTATTTGTAAATCCAAAACTATTCTAAAAGGAAAATTTTTAAAAAGACAGACACCTGCAGTTCCACGCTCCGGGAGCTGGCAATCCAGTAGTTGAAGCCAAGGACTATGACACAGGCCACCAGAGCGGCCAGTAGGAGCGGGGGCGACTTCATGCTCCGACGCCCATTACCCAGTCCCATCATCTCAAGGCTAGAGTAGAGTGCCTGCCAAGTGAAGAGAAACAACTGCACTCAGTTCCATTGTCATCAGCCAAGAAGTAGGCTACATCCATCCCCAGGCCCCAGGGTGCTATTGAGCCTGGAAACAGAAGCAAGGGGAGTTGTTCCTCAGAATGCACACTGTCAGTGGAGGGCATGGACAACCCACCCACGATTCTAAGTCCCAGAGCAGTGGGGTCCACTCCCAGGGATGGCTTCCTGAGGACTGTCCTCAGAATCCACCACTCAGAGCTCAAGCTCTGCAAGCAGCACTCTCTCTCCTTCAGTTTCCTCATCTATAAATGCAGGATATTATAGTACCTGCTCCTCCAGGGTAGTGTGAGAATTAAATCAACAATAGAAGCAACCAAGCAGGGGCAATGGTGGTAAAGGAGCAGGATTTTTGCTTTCTGTGGAGGAGACCTTCCCACCGATGCACATATGTGGCCACCTGTCAGGGAAGATGTGTGGTGCTAGCCAGATTTCAGAAGCTCTTTCAGACTAAAAGAGGCCTGAGAGAACGGCCCAGAAATCTACTTCCAAAACACTTGCCAGTGAGAATCCTATGGATCCCAACAGTTTTATCCACACTCATTACAGAGAAGGCACAGGCATAGGTAAGCAGAGTGTTGTCCCCTTGTTTATGGGGCTACATCAGTGACAGTCAACAAGATACAAATAGCAAATATTAAGTGCTCACACATTTCACTAAAAAAGCAGACATTTCTAAGCTGTCATTACTGCAAGTACCATCCTTCATCATCCGAGGGGTGTGGAACCTGATGCCCAAAGTCAGACCATGAGATAGGTTTACGGCTCCGGGCCCTGCTGGGGCCCAGGAAATTGGGAACCTGGAATCTGGGACTCTGAGGCATGACCTGTGAGAGGGCACATCCAACATGTCATATGAAGAGCTGTTGGAATTGCAGAACAAAGTGGGGACCAAGAAGTATAAACAATCGGTGGTCGGAAACAGCATTAGAAAGCAAGATTCTAGACCACTTGCCCAAAATCAATATGATGCAGATAAGCACAAGCCTCTGGAAATGTCAGCAAAAGTTCAGGTGCCATTTTTACATCAGGTTGTCCCCATCAGTAAAAAGGTGACCAGGGAGAGAGAGAGAGAGACACACACACACACACACACACACACACACACACGCTTTGATGAGGTATTTGAAAAACATACCAATTCCTGAATGATATCTGAGCCAAAGAAAGATTGTGAAAAAGCAATTGAAGAAGCACTAGAAACTGCAGCTGCTACTTCAGGGAATAAAGCAGCTAGAACCTGCACAGCAGGTGCTGTGACTCGCCCTGAAGCAGGAGCATTGTCAGGCCCAGCAGGGCCATCGCTGTACTTCCTGAAGAAGTCCGAGCAGTGTGAGTTGGCCCTAGCCAAGAAGTTCAAGGAGCTGAAACACAGCAAGAAGCTAGAGAGTTTCTTAAGTCAACGAGGTGACCACATGCAGGCAAGGACAGAAAACATCTCCCCTTCAGCAAAGGGTAATAAGAAACTGTCTTCAGCTCTGCCCAGTGAGACATGGATTTGTGGGGACAACCTTGAGCTTGGCCTGTTTTCCTGGCTAAGGCCAGATCACAGCTGGACTTGAACCAGGTTGGCTCAGGAAGACTAGAAGATTCTCAGCCTGGTCCAAAGCCTGGCAGGAAGAGCAGCTCAGGTTCCTAATGTGTCACCTGGCCTCTGCTTGGATCTTGTTCATCATGTCCTCATGTCCTTCTTCCACCCTTGCTGTAAGCTGATAACTCTGTAGGAAAGAAAGAGGGTAAACAGTGAAGGCCACCAAGTCTGTTGATAGCTCCTTGGGCTGGGATTTTATGCAGGAATCATTTATAAACATTTTTGTCACTCAAAAAAAAAAAAATAGCAGACATTTATCATTTTTACTTGTTCATCTGATGCCCAACATGTGAAAGTTTTTACTTCTTAACAGAATTACTACGGACACTTCCAATTAAAGCATTCCTGAGGGGAGTTCTAGGTAAAGAGTTGTATTGCCAACCTAGAGGCAGGCAGTTCAAATCCACCAGTGGCTCCTCAGAAGAAAGATGGAAAGATCTCCTCCCAAGATATGGCTTCTGAAAACCCACTGGAGGGTCAGCTACGAGTGGATTCTGACTCCATGGCTATGAGTTAGAGAAAGCTGAAGAAGGTTGCCCAACCTGAGGATGAATGTAAATTCTGCTAACAAATTCTATAAATCATATCCAGGGTGCATTCATAAACAAAGCAGTGAAGCAGAGCAGCTCTCCTCTCACTCCACTCAATGGGGAAGACACAAGCGAAGCACTCCAAACTGGGGCCTGAGACAGAAAAGAGGCATTCGCTGTGTGCCAACCAAGATAGCCACTTGCTTTGAGCACTCACTTCCCTCACTTTTCTACAAAAGCAGTGTAGTCAGCCTCACATCCTCTAGAGAGCTGAGGCAAAACAATTCTTTCCAAGGGCTACAGAGTGCAATCTAACTTTTAAAGAGAAGCAAAGATTTATCTCAGAAGGGAAAAAAAAAGCATAGTTGGCATCAAGTCTATTCCCAAGCATGCCGGAGCAGGGCTGAGCTCAGAGGGCTTACAAGAGCTGATTTTCAGGAACAGATTGTCGGGCGTTTTTTCCAAGCTGCCTTTCGTGGATTCCAACCTCGAACCCTTCAGTTAGCAGCCAATCCTGAGGTGTCAATCATACCTGTATGCTTCAACCCAAAACCACTTCAGGATTAGTCACAAGAACAAGGAAAGTATGACTTTTCCAAATGACTTTGCTGAGGCAAATGAAACAGCTCCTTGTCACAGTGAGGGCCAGCACTGCAAGAAATAGTCTTCAGATAGCCACTTTCATTCTGGCTGTGAGGTCCAGAGGGAGCAGCATCAGGACAGGGAAACTATTTTCTTGGGACTGGCCTTCAAGATCAAGTTCTTGAGAATGTTCAACACAGTAGGTACAGAGCTGATTTTGATCTTGTGGTATTTCTAAATTTGTGTTTAGTGCAGTATACACCTTCTTTCTTAATAGTTACATACTAGCTACTACATGAACCTTCAGGGGAGAAATGAGCAATGTTTCTGAATTATCTAAAATTAACCACCACAAGAACCACTTTGTATGAGGCTGATGGCTTCATCTAATGTTGCTGTACTGGGGCCTCCTTTATCTACTTCTGGACTCCAGGATAAAAGAAGAAAATGTCTCTAACTTTTTGTAACAGCAAACTCTGTACAATGCAAAGAAGAGTAAAACTCAGAAACATTAAACTTCTGAAAGATCCTAACACTAACTACCATTTAATTGGTTCTGACTCATAGCAGGTCTCCAGGGTTGTAAATCATAATGGGAGAAGACTGCCCATCTTTCTCCTAAGAAGCAGATGGTATATTTGAACTACTAAATGCCTGGCCTTTTGGTTACCACTGCAATATCACCAGAGTGCCTATGTTGATTTTACATATCTACTGAAAAGTGGGCCTCTGATATCTCATCATAGCTGATCTTAATCACAGTCTATTAAAATGCCAACTATTTCCACAACACTGACTACACGGAAATTCAGGATTATTTAAAGTTCTGATGATTTTTTTTTTAAAAAGCCAACTATTATAATATTTAAAAAAATATGAAAGTACTAAACAAAATTGGGGACAGGGGAAAGTACAGTAAGGTATAAAAGAGTCCATCTTCCAACTCCCAAAACAAAGTATGGGATGTGTCCGTACTGTAAGTTCACTTGGACAGCTTCCCAACAGCATCCGAGCACATACATTCCTTGTCCTGTAGGGTTTCCATTCTAAAATCAGCTTTCCTTTTGCTTATTATTTTTCCCTCATGGCTTTAAGTGACTCCCTACCCCCAACTCTTGCAGCACTGGCCTGTGGAGTAAGGAAGGACGCAGGTAGTCAGGCAGAGGACATGGTACTGGGTCCTGCTCTCAATTTTAGCAGCCCTAGCCCATAGGTATGAAAGGATACAACCAGGTGAGGTAAGGGATGTGGCACTGGGCCCTGGGCCCAACTCTAGCAGTTCTGGCCCATGGGTAAGGAAGGACACAAGCAGGCGAGGCAGGGATGTGGGGCTGGTCTCTGTTCTTTGGCAGGAGGCAGGTGGGTGATGAGGTAAAACATTCGGGTGGCTCTTATTACTCAGGAGGGAAAACAGGAAGCAGCTAAATGTACCCTTCTCCCTCCCTCCCTCCCTCCCTCTCTCCCTCCCTCCCTCCCTCTGCTGCTCTCTCAAGTTCAGTTGGAAACATGGAATTCATACAACACTCAAATTACATGCCCATGTGAATGTCGCAGGCATTAAGCAATATATGCCTGTATATAAAATATATGTATGTAAATAAAAAGCCTCTTACGCTTAGAGAATAGAATTTTATTGTCAACCCGAAGGCAGGTAGTTCCAATTTACCAGTGGCTCCTCAGGATGGGCAATCTCCTCTCATGAAATTGACAGCATCTAAATACCTGCTAGAGGTATTCTGATGTACCTGAATACCTGCTGTTCTTGATAGCTAGACAGCACATAACAACCACTGTAATTATATTCTCCAATGTGTTTCCCTTCTCCTGCTTCTGTCAACCTTCAGTAACTATCAGACTCATTTAGGTTTTGATCAAAGTAACAATGTTTAGACCCTATCCCTAAGTTTTTTAAGTGTTTCTAAGTTTCAGGGTAGGAACAAAGAATTTTTTGCCTAGAGAGCTCTGTTGGTGTTGTTCCCAGGGCCTTGCATACCAAAGGTGGTACTCCTCTGGAAGTTCAAATCCACCAGCTACTCCATGACAGAAAGATGGGAAGTCTCTTTTAGTATGATTTACAGCCTCAGAAACCCATTGGTGGGTCCTCAGTGAGTCTATTCCAACTCCATGGAAATGAGTATGTGATCTCAGGTAAAACCACTGTTCTGGATTTTCTAGACATGTTACTTGGGTTTTGATACACATACAAAATAATAAATAAATATTTTCACTAA